GCCCTACCCGACGCTCTACCCGACGCCTTACCCGACGCCCTCCCCGACGCCCTACCCGACGCCCTACCCGACGTCTTTCCCGACGCCTTACCCGACGCCCTCCCCGACGCCTTTCCCGACGCCCTACCCGACGCCCTTCCCGACACCTTTCCCGACGCCTTTCCCGACGCCCTTCCCGACGCCCTTCCCGACGCCCAACGCCCTTCCCGACGCCCTTCCCGACGCCCTTCCGACGCCTTCCCCGGCGCCCTTCCCGACGCCCTTCCCGACGCCTTTCCCGACGCGCTCCCGACGCCCAGCCCGACGCCCAGCCCGACGTATCTTTCAGGTTGGCCGACGCCGCACCCGACGTTTCCTCCGTGATCTCTTTTGGCGGCCGGAGCTGGTGGCGTGGCTGCCACTGTCGGCCCCCATCTTCAGAACGTTTATGGCGAGCGGTTCAATTTGATGAAGCCGGGCAAACCTGTTCTGATAAGCATCCCTCACGGAAAGAGTGATGAGGACGCATTGCTTCGCGCGCAGGCCGATGCGAGCCGCTTGGGTGGAACTTGCGTGGATATGTACTTCCAAGAAGTGAACGTTACAGGGTCATGGGCAGAGGCCAAACAAGCTGGAGGGTATCATTACAGCGTATCGCACATTGCTGTCGAGACTTCGGAATGGGTTGTCTTCTATGCCATCGAATTCAAAATCGTTCGTGGAGGTGCAGGAGGTGTGCAGTGGTTGGTGTTTCCGGATTCGGCCGCGGCTGGATTCGAGTCGCTTCGAAATCTTGGTCCTGCCGCGCCCTGGGATCAGCTTGGGGCGTGGCCGCATCGGTACCCAATCGCGCCCCCACTCCTGCCCTCGCCGGCGCGTCTGTCGCCGCTGCGCCCCCCGCCGCGCGGCGTCGATCGCCGTTGCCGCCGCCGCCGCATAGGGTTCCCGCTGCGCTGAGCGCAAACATCCCGTTCACTTCTGTGAATGTGAACTTGGGGTACGCCGCGCGCCTTCACAGGCTTATGCACCTTGCGCTGAAGTTCGTGTCACTGCGAAAAAATCCTTGACGCTGCATCCCCACCAGCCCATCCAGGAACGACGCCCGGGCGCGTTGAGGTGATCAGGAAGTGCGGGAACAAAGAAGAGGATTTCCGAACCGTGCGAAGGAGGGAGGAGGAGAAGGAGGCTGGATGCATGGATGGATGAAGGAGTGGGGAGAAGGATGATGCATAGGCTGATAAGGAAGAGAAGGAAGAGCAGGAGGAGAAGGATGAGGACGAGAAGGAGTTTTGGGGCCTGGGTGCCGAAAAATAACGCATTGGATTCCAGTGACAGTGCGCCCCACCGCGGGCGATCTTAGGCAACTTGGGGTTTTCTGGGGGCCCACCCTGGGCGCCCGGAGCCATCTTGGACCCCTCCAGGGCAATAAAAACAGCGAATTGGATTCCAATGCGCTTTACCGCGGGCGATCTTGGGCAGATCTTGGGCAACGTGGGGCTTTCTTGGGGCCCGCCCCGAACGCCCCGAGGCCATATTGGACCCCTCCAGACCAGGGCCAGAAAAATGGCGAAAAGGCCGGGGATTCATGTGCGCATGTTCTGTTTCACCTTCAGGCCCCGGGGGCGGTTTTCGCGCCCGGGACAAAGCACCAACGGAACCGACATGACAAACAGTCCAAGGGACGGTGTCGCGATTCTACAGGCTTACGCCGCATCCGCCGACCCCTTGGTTTAATCGGCGACCGTGGCGACCCTCGGAGCCGCGTGGGGGCTGCTATGTGTGTCCTTTTGTGTCCTGTTTTCGGGATCCCGGGGCTTCTGGGGGGCACATTCTGGCAGTGAACATGACATGAGTGTTTCGGTGGATCATGGGCCGCCGAGAGGTTCTTGGAAGGCCTCAGGGGCGGTCTTCGCGCTCAGAGCGAGCCCGGGGAGGGCCAGGCCCCCCCTGGTGAGTCCGGCCCAGACCCCCCCCTCTCCCAAACGACCGGGCCAGGCTCCCGGGGGAGGGGTTTGAGGAGGGGGAAGTATCTCACACGCCGATGAGCCCCAAGGGTGGGCGGATTTCACATGTGGTCGCGGCTTTCGCCCCCGTCGGGCGTCGGAGGGCTCTCCAGGCCAGGCGGCGACGACGACGACGGAGACTGCGACGACAGACGACGACGACGACGACGACGACGACGACGACGACGACGACGACGACGACGACGACGGCGACGACGGCGACGACGACGACGACGACGACGACGACGGCGGCGGCGGCGGCGGCGGCGGCGGCGACGGTGGCGACGACGGCAGCGGCGACGACGACGACGGTGCGGCTCGGGCGTCGGAGGCTCTTCGGGCCGTTCGCAGCGCCCCGCGTCGTCGTCGTCGTCGCTGGTCGTCGTTGTCGTCGCCGCCGCCGCCGTCGTCGTCGTCGTCGTCGTCGGAGCTCCTCGACCATGGGACTCAACGCCCAAGCAGTCGAATCGAGCTCCCGCTTTCCATCTCGCTCCTCCCATTTCTGCTTTGCCGCCACGGGCGCCTCTTCGAGGCGTCCCCGGTGCAGCCCTTCCCCCGAGAGGGCCATGCCGGGGAGACAGGCCACCGTACCCCAGAGAGAGGCCTGGTGGTGGGTCAGTGTGCGTGAGATCCGCGGAAGCGGTCGAGACAGCGCAATAATGCGTAGGTGGAGGGAGGAGGGAGGAGGGAGGAGGGAGGGGGGAGGAGGGGGGAGGATGAGAAGAAGGATGGGGGAAGAGGAAGAACATGTTCTTACGCCCGTGTCTGACCATGAGTGGGAGGCCCCGGAATTGTTCGGGAAGGCGGATTTGTAAGACGAAGAGGAGGGGGAGGGCGGGGAGGAGGGAGGAGAAGGAAGAGGAGGAGAAAAAAAGGTTCGTCCGCCCGTGTCTGACCATGAGTGGGAGACCCCGGAATTGTCCGGGAAGGCGGATTTGTAAGACGAAGAGGAGGAGGGGGGCGGGGAGGAGGGAGGAGAAGGAAGAGGAGGAGAAGAAAAGGTTCGCACGCCCGTGTCTGACCATGAGTGGGAGACCCCGGAATTGCTGGGGAAGGCGGAATTATAAGAGGAAGGGGACGAGGAGGAGGGCGAGGATGAGGAGGGGAACCCGCTACTGGCTTGTCACATAAGCATGCGATTTTCGATCTATTGGCAGGGGCGCTCCGGTCCATGGATTGCAAGGCCCCACAGGGGGACAAGGGGGAGGCGGATGAGCACGGGGGATTATGGAAGGAGGAGGGAGATGAGAAGGAGAAGGGGGAGGGGGAGGAGGAGGAGGAGGGGGAGGACAGGGAGGAGGTGGAGGAGGTGTCGCGAACACGAGGACGATGATCATGAGCGGTTTCCCCGTCCCGCCACACGGGCCTCTTCGCTACCCCGCCGGCCTCGTGTGTGTGTGTTTTTGGGAGCGCGCCCAGGGTCGTCTCGAGGTGTCGGGGCCGTCCTGGGGGGCATTGGGCCCCGATGACGACGACCGCCACCGCCGCGACGACGACGACGACGACCGCCGCCACCACCACGACAACGACGCCGACGACGACGACGACGATCAGGACGGCGACGACGACGGCGACGGACGACGTACGACGGGCAAGGGGCAACGGACGACGGACGACGGACGACGAACGACGGACGACAGACGACGTAGGGGCATTATGGGGCCTCCTGGGAGCTTCTTCGGGCGGAAAGTTTGAAGGCCTGGTGAGCCGTCACGGAGCGCTCGAGGGCTCTCATGGGGGCCCCGTGGGAGCCTCTTGGGCCGTCCTGGAACGTACGGCGTTCTAACGGACGTCGACGATTTTAACGTCTTGGTGGCTCGCGGGCACCATGGAGGCAGTGTCGACGCCTCTTGGCGGCCGTTTTGGGGCCTCCGTGGGGCCTTTTGGGAGCCTCTTGGGGCTTCTGAGGGTCGTCTTGGAGGCCTCTTCGGACTTTTTGGGGAGTTCGCGGGCCCTCTTGGGAGCGTCTTGCGGCGGAAGGCTCGGATTGTCGGTCCGGGCACCCTCTCTTGGGCCACTTTCGGGGCTGACTTCGAGCCGTCTTGGGCTTTTTTGGGCGCCTCTTGGGGGCCTCTTCGGGCTTCTTGGGGACTTCGTCGCGCCCGGATTTCTGTGTCGGGCTGTTCCGTCCCATGCCCTCACATCTAATAGCCGTTTCGGCGCAATTTCCGCTGCGGCGCCTGGGGCGCGCCGTTGGCGGGATTATCCGCAATCGGGCCATTTTGGCCTGAGGCAGGCGGGGGCCACTCCTGCCGATCGGGCAGGGAACGGAGCCCGCGCACGCACCGCTCAGGCACAACGCACCAATCAGGCATGGACTTCCTGGCTCTGGCTGCTCTCGGGGCGTATCCTCCGCTTCAGCGGCCGGGCCGTTCGCGGCGGCACGCTTGCGCTGTTGCGCACGTCGTCAGAGGAGAGGCGCCCCAAGATCTAAAGGAGATGGCGGTCGACCTGCATAGGCGGCACGTCGACATGAAGGCCAGCAGGGGAGACGATGTCACGGCATCGGCGGGGGCGTCGGGCATCGGCTCCGGCACGGGGCGCTGGAAGAAGCTTGCGCCGGAGGCCGTCCTCCGCGTCAGTTTCGCCCCCCCCCCGCTGCCTGTTTCAAAGCCGTCGCCGCCAGCGAGGATCCGCCCACGACGGGCGCGCATGTCCGTCACTGGAAGTACCTCGTTTCCCAACGCATCGAGGAGGAGCAATCCCTCTTCTTCCGCACCCTGCCAGCCAGCCTGCAGAGCCCGTCCGCATTTCTCATGGTTCAGCTGTGTTGGGACGAGACCAAGCTGCGAGTGGCAGCCACAGGTCGTTGGCACGCCAATCGATCGCTTCCGCGTCGAACCCGTCTCGTCGCAGACGGCTGGACATCGGGCCTTTCATCGCTCATTTCCCGTCCGGCGTTTTCTGGATTTGGGCGCCCCAGGGGGGCCTCGTTGGAACCGATCCTGGTCAGGGGGGGGCAGCGCGAGAACATTAGCCGATCGATCGACGTATATTTTTTTGTCGCGTGGTCGGCAGGGAACCGCTCCGCGACCGACGAGGCCATCCTCGCGGGCAACTGCCTCGTCTTGTGGTCCCAGGGCATCGGGGGGGCCGTCGAGGAGCAGGAGCTCATCGTGAAGCCCCTGGTCCTCGAGGAGAAGACAGCAGCTGGCCTTTATGCTGCCTTGGAGAAGTCCCTGCCACATCAACTGTGGAGCCTCCTCGCCGGGCACAGTAGTATTCCTGGCCGCGTCGTGCTGCAGCTGGGCTCCGACCGCGCGGCCACGAATCTGATGCTCATTTCCCACCTGAAGTCGTCGGCGCCCGACAGGGTGTTCGTTATCGAGGGCCTGTGCAAACAGCGCGCATCAGGTCTGTGCTTAGCCCCAGTTGCCAAGCTGCTCGGAATACCGCCCCCACTCTATTGCATAGCGAAATTGTTCCATTCTGAGGGTTTCCAGAAGCGTTATAAACATGGACTCCGGTGTGCAATTTCCTCGAAGCTCGACTGGGTGAAGGCGATCGATCGGCCGACGTATTCCCCGGATCCCGCTCACAGGACCCATGCAGAAGCTGCATTGGAACTCTTGTATTCTCATTCAGGCTGGCGCCGACGCACCCGCGCAATGGACATGCGGTTTCTGGGCAAGTGCGCGCGAGGTTTTCGGCGGGTCTGGGGCGTGCAATGCAGGCGTTTCCGCGCGCTGGTCAGGCCGCCGCCAGGGCCGTCGGTCTCCCGTGATATCAGGCGGTCCAGCGACCCCGAGGAGATCGCGGAGACGGCCGAGCGCCGGCGGGAACTGGGCGACACATTATTGGACATTTGCCCGGGCAATTGGAAGACGCGGCGAATTCTTCATTACTGCAAGGGTTGTTGTGGTTCCAAAGAGGAGGCTGTCGAAAAGGTGTTGGATCAGTTGATATCCATGGGCTTCGATAGTCTGAACGTCCCTTCCCTGAACAAGTGGTTGAGCATCGCGCCGATCGCCGCTGACATCTGCTTCGTGCTCTCGTTCCACCGAATATTCGTCGACGGTCTGGACTATGCCTTCAGTCGAACAGCTGAGGAGAAGAAGGGCGCCGATTCTGATGATGATTCGGGCGATGCGCGACGGCGCCTCGTCGAGGGTGCCGCCCGGGGGCGAGGGGCGGGGGCCCGAGGCCCATTGGTTTAAGGTTCCCAAGATGATTTCATGCTTCTCATGGGGGTGGGGGGTCGCCTCGCCGAGATATTCCAGGGGCGCCGGGGTCGCCCCGGACGGCCGCGCCAGGCCCCATCGACGCGACCGTTCGGCGGGCACTCGGGCGGGCGCGCGCGTTGGCGCCGAGCCCAGGCGGAGACGACCAGAAGGCATGGCACCGCGAGGAGCGGAGGCGATCCCTGCGGGCGCTCGCATGGGTGGAAAGGCCAGCTACATATGGCGAGCTTTTGCTTTACGTCCAGACGACCCGCCCAGTCATGAGGTTGCATTACCATTTGTTCAAGCATGCCCAGACTTCCCCCGCAGGGAGTGAAAGGTCGGACTTGTTCGACGCGTGCAACCTGGCAGACGGGTCGAAGTCTCTCGGCGTATCTGTGCTGAAGGAGTTGTGCGACATGGTCGGGCGCACGGATGTCCATTTGCCCTCCTGGGACGTACTGCTGTCAGTATTCGGGCCGTTTTCGGGCTGGCCGGCGACGCTGAAGGAGCAGGCCCGAAAGGTTGTATTTCAGCTGGTCGGCCAAGTTTGGCGCCACTTCGTGCACTTCTACAAGCGATGGCCATGGAAAATGGCGCCGCTGGCCGACCCCGAGTTGAGCCCGGCCATGAAGAGGGAGGTCGGCCAGGCGCTGATCGACGCCAGCCCTTGCTGTCTCGACGATAGCTTCTCGGCCAAGGTTCCGAGGGGCGGAGGGGGGTTGGAACGGAGGGGCGCGCCCTGCGCTGGTCGCTGGGCCTTCCGCGCCCCCGCTCGGCCGCCCGACCCCCCCACACCCCGCGCCAAGTCCCAACATTTCAAATTTTTCGTTCGAAATGTCCAGCCCCAGGTGAGAGCGGGCGCTAGGGGCGACGTGGAGAACCTCCTCGGCCCTGAGTGGCAAGAGTTCCTGTGCCATTCGTTTAACAAGGTACCGCTGGCCAATGCCAGGTGCGAGTGCTGCTTCGCCGCTTACCAGCAGTGGTTGAACCGGTGCCCCAAGCCATTGGCGGCTTCAACTCTCCAGGCGAAGCGCGTGTGCCACACTCGCCTCAGCGTGCATCAGGCCCTGGAGGACGAAGAGGACTACGACGGCGACGATGACGAGCCACCCACAAAAATGGCCAGGCCAGCTTGGATTTTCAAGGGTCGCGAGATGGGCAGGACCAACAGCCGCCACATTTACTTGGGCGAGGTCGTCCGGGAGAGGCCGCCCAGCCAGACACACCAGGAGGCCTTCGCCGCGGCCAGTGCGGCGTGGCTGGGAGAGACACCGGCAGTTAAAGCCAAGGCGAAAGCCAAGGCGTCCGAGAGGAATGCTCTGAAGCGGATGCGGAAGAAAACTGCTCTCCGAGCCGCGTGCAACGCCGTGGAGAGGGAGCGTTGCCCGTTGACGCGGGCATTCATTGCTGCTGAAACTCCGGGCAGCCTGGGCGCGGCCTACGCGGCCTGGCGAGCCGGCGGCTCGCCAGTTCCAGCGAGCGAGTTTTTTCCGGACGCAGTGGTTCACGATAAGCCGTGCTTGTGCCTGTGTTCTTCCTGCATGGGCTCAGTCCCTGCTGGCCGCATGGAATTGTTCTGCGAGGTGTTGGGCTCCTTGCGCGCGCTCTTCGGGGGTGCCCGCGGCCGGGGCGTGGTTCCTGAGGGCGTTTTCATGATTTCGGACGCGGCCAACGCTGCCCTGGCTGAGCGCCTGTCCCGCCGCCCCCGCGCGCCCGCGAACCGCGCGCGAACCTGCGGTGCTCAGTCCTCGACCCGCGCGCCAGCGACCCGCGGTTCCAGCGTGATCACCCCGATCAGTGTCATCGTCGCCGCCACTGGCAGCATCATCGCGGCCCCAAGAGGGGCTCCGCCGAAGGCCGCCCTGGCGGGAATGACATGCGTCCCCGGCCCCAGTCTGGCCTGCCCGTCGCACGTTCCTTGGCCCCGTCGGGAGCTCCGCCGAAGGCCGCAGTGGCAGGGACCTTGTTGCGTTCCGAGAACAATGGCGGCTGGCCCTCCGACGTTTCGTGCCCCCATAGGGGGCCCCACCGACAGCCCGTGAGGCATGCTCCGCGCGCGGCTCCAGCCCCATTCCAGCTCCCCCCGCGCGGTTCGTGACCCCATGGGCGGATTATTTCCACGACGTTGCGTGCTCTGACGCGACGCGTGCCCGGCGCGGCGGGCCAGCGGTTGACGCGTGGTGGGTCTGCCGGTGTCTGCGTGCATTGCGCAGGCCTTTCCTTGCGGAGTTCTGCGTCTATAGGGCCACTGCCCAGACGTCAGAACAAGGGACCCTGACGTTCTGGCCCGCGGGCCCATTAGAGCCACCGTGCATGCTGGCACTCCGTCGTTCCCCAGTTGCCCCGTCGTCTTCGCAATGGGTCTTGCAAGTGCTGACCGAGCGGGACTTGGCAGTCGCAATCGTCGGCAGCACGAACGGGCCGGTTGCGTGCCGGCGCTTGCGTTGCGACGTCAGCGCAGGGACATCGCTGCGATATTTGCGCGTTCAGGACATCGGCACCGATATCGACATTGCTGAGGTGCGCAGGCAGCGGCAGGAGATCGATCGCCTTGTACGGTTGGCCAGAATGGCGCAGAGGCTTGCCCAGGCCGACCCGAAATTGCCAGCGAATCCCGCCCCCAGAACGTATGGGACCTGGAACAAAAACACACACACACACACACGCCTGTACTGGTAACACGTACCCGAGCGAATGTGCACACACGGAGTCCCCGAAAGCCCATGTCAACGGAACCCAGACGACCAGCACGCACGGAACCCAAACCAACCCACACCCCCGGATTTCAAGCCGACTTGCGCACGCGGAGCCCCATTCAGCCCACACCAACGGCGCCCAAAACAACCCGCGCCGACGGAACCCCAAACAGCCCACACCTCCGCAATCCAAGACAATCCACACACACGGAGTCCCATACAGCTCACACCAACGCCACCGAATACGACCCACACCAACGGAACCCCAAACAGCCCATGCCATCGGCGCTGCTGCTTTCAGGGGGTCGCAGGCGATTCGGTCGTGTCTGGCGAGGGCGGCGAATCCACAGGCGGCCCGACCGCGCGCCAGAGCGGGTGCCCGACATGCCGCGGTGGCAAGGCAACGATCGACTTCACCGCGGCGTTGCAGTAGCGAGAGCCCGGCTGTCTGCACCTCCGAGCCCTCCAGCGATGAGTCCAGCGGGGGGGAAGCGGCCAGGGTCAAGCGGTATTTCAAGTTTCTGAAGCTTGCAAAGAATGCAGCGCAGCGCCGCGCAAACCAGCGCCCTTGCGGCGCCGAGCCAGGTGGCGCAGTCCCCGGCGGCGCCGCGCCAGGTGGTGCAGACCCCGGCGGCGCCGAGCCAGGTGGCGCAGACCCCGGCGTCGCTGCGCCAGGTGGCGCAGACCCCGGCGGCGCCGAGCCAGGTGGCGCAGACCCCGGCGGCGCTGCGCCCGGCGGCGCTGCGCCTGGCGGCGACGCGCCAGGCCATGCAGCGGCTGCGCCGCATACCAGGCTTCGCCCTACGACCCGCCAGCCCCGAAATGATGATATCTCGTTCCCCCAATAGATATGTGCATCAACCAGGGCTGGTTCGATGCAACCCCCAGGAGGCGCGTTGCATGTATTTGTTCTTCCGTAGCGTCTCGCATTGCTTTTCGCTGTAGAGCGGCGCCCGCGTTTTTTTCGACATTGCGCGTCGCGCGTGGGCTCCAGCTGCTCAGCGTCGCGTTCGTCTGATTCGCAGCAGGGCGTCGCGTGTTTTCTTCGCTCCCCGGGTTTTCGCGCCGTTCTGTGCGGCGCGCGGGGTGTCTTTCACTGCCCAGCGTCGCTCGTGGCTTTACATTCCCATGCTTCCCTCGTTGTTTCTCGCTGCTCAGCGTCGCGCGCAATTTAGCCCTGGTCAACGTTGCGCATGGCTTGTACTGAGGAGGGCGCAGGCGCCGCAATAATAACAATGCCCCCGTCTTGGGATACGAGGGGGAAATCCTTCGCGCTTCGGGGCAAGGAGGTCGTGGGGGACGATTTGTTATCAAGGGTGCTGCGGAACAAGGAGGGTCGGGGGGGGGGGCGATTTGTTAACGCGTGGCGCTGCGGGGGACAAGGGGGGGGGGGGGGGGGGGGGGGGGGATTTGTCAACATGTGGTGGGCGTCGTAGACCGTAATAGACAACAGTATACGTTCGGCCACCAATTTGTCCACATTGTTTGTTTGTACGGTTTGCCGCGCATGTGTCCCCATTCGGCGTGCAGCCGTGCTGCGCCGATGAAAAAAATGCAGTTGCATATGCGATGCTGAAACGAGTTACCTTGGTTAGGGAAGTGCGCGCCCAGTACTTTTGGGAAAGGGGGAACGGCGGGCCAGGAAGCCGAAGACGACCATGATGAGGGAGGGAAGAAGATGAGGAGAAGCATGATGATGATGATGATGAGGAGGAGGAGGAGGAAGAAAATAACGATGATGATGATAATGAGGAGGAGGAGGAGGAGGAGGAGGAGGGGGAGGAGGAGGAGGAGGAGGAGGAGGAGGGAGAGGAGGAGGAGGGGGGGGAGGAGGAGGAGGTGGAGGGGGAACAGCACCAATTCTTTTGGGGCTAGCGCCGCCATTAATTGTGGAGCCCTTAATTCGGATGAGAAAGGCACGGCGACTATGGCGAGGAAAAGCAACAACGATGATTGGAGTCCACCACCAAGGTCTTTGCAGATTGCTCGCTCTCAGAGCGTCGCGTATTGGAGGCCTCTTCGGACCATCGCGGGGCCTTCTTGGGGCGAGCATGAATGCCTCTGGGCCTCTGGGGCCGTCTTGGTGCTCTCTTTTTTTTTGAGCTCGCTGGGCGCCTCTGGTGCCCTCTTGGGGTGTTTTGGGGGGCCCTCTTGGGGGCGCATTGGGGGCCCTCTTGGGGGCGCATTGGTTCTCTTGGGGCCCTGTGGGGGCTCTCTGGTTTTTTTTCGTTATTGAAGATATTTTGGAGCCTTTTTCCGGGGGCTTTGAGGGCCCTTTTGGGGCCATCGGTCACAGAAGGGGTGCTCTAACAACGCCCCCGTCGGGGCCCTGATCTCAGCAATTTGGGGCCTTCTTGGACCGTTTTCTGGCGCTCCTGGGACGGTGTTGGGGCATCTACTGGCCCCCATTGGGCGTTCTTGCAGCCCCCAAGACAAATGTGGAGCAAACCGTGTTCGGGGGAAGAAATCGGAAAGTCTTGCAAGATCGCGGAGGTCATTGTTGTTTTTTCTGATACCCTCTCGGGCCAATTTTAAGCCAAAGCGGACCGTCGGACACCTCGCGGCCCCCCCGCCCCCAGAGCCAAGAGGAGGGGGTCGGGCAGACCTAGGGGGAGAGGGCGGGGGGGGACACGAGTGGTATAAAGTTGTTTAGCTTTCAGATGGAGGGATTCCCGATGACCTCGTGCTCCTGAGGAGAGGGGCTGCGGACGTGGGCCCCGACGTCGTAGACACATGGCCCCTGCCCCATAACATGGGCAGATCAAGTTCGAAAGGGAACGTTGGCGTTTTGGCGCACGCTGCCCACTGGGGGGGACACAACTCATCGATGGAATCCGAGTGCTGCGACCCCATGGGCCAGGCGCCTGTAGGTCGAACAGGGGCAAGGCCAAGCATCCATTAGGACTAATGGCAGCGCGGTGTGCGTGCGCCGACGATTTCGTCGACAAAGACAGTCATTTTTTTGCATAGCCGAATCCTAGAGAAGGATCGGGCAGCTAGGGGGGGTGCTCGCGATATCATCGCTCTTGTAGAGGGCGCAGACTCGCTCATCCGCGCCGAGGGCGTGAACAACGTGGAGCCTTGATGGGGCGGCGTACACGATGCATGAAAAATATTCTGCCTCGCCCATGTTGCTCCCGCCTCTTATCCGCAAGTGCGGGGTTCGACGTACTCCTGCATGCATAGCTATATATGTACGCCCGCACATCAAATAAGGATTGCATCCTCGCGAAAGGTCTCTTGCATCCTTGCCAATGCCATGTTTCACCATGGCGTGCCGGGGCATGTCCGGTTCCTTGCCTCCGGAGGGCGCCCTGCATCCCAGTGCGTCCCTTGCGTTTGAGGAGTGTGCTGATGTCCGAGGTCCTGGAGCCGCTTATTTTGTTTTTGCTTTCTTGCCGCGCGCCCGAAGCCCGAGGCGCCCTCCCCGTCGCCGCGGCTGGACGCAGGTAGAAGAAAACTTGGGCAACGAACGTCTGAAATCGCGTCTGGCGCGCACCTTTGGCTTTGGGGCAAAATGCTTTCAACGCAAGGGTTGGATCTCCTTCTTCCTATCCCTCTTCCTTTCCCTGTCCTTTTCCTCCCCTCTTCTCGCCTTTCCGCCCAGCCCCCCCCGAGCTTCCGCGTCCCCGGCGCCGAGGCGGTGATCCGCGGATGGAGTCGCAGCGCGGCGGCGGCGCCGGTGGGCGGGAGAGTCGCAGCGCGGCGGCGGTGGGCGGTGGGGCCTCGGAAGGGATCCGGGAGGGGTCGAGGCGACGTCCGGGGGGCCCAGGGCGGGTGGGGCCCCGGGGAGCGTCCAGGACCCATGGGCCCCATGAGGCGTCTTGGCCGGAGGGGTCGGAAGGCCGCGGCCGAGCCCGGCGCGTTCTGGCCAGGTTCCGGTAGCCTTGCTGGCCACTCGGAGGACCCTCTGGCCGCGAGGGCCGGGCGCGGCCCAGCCCGCACCACAAGGGAAAAGAGGGGGAGGAGGAGGAGGGGGGGGGGAGAGGAGGATGGGGGAGAGGGGGGGGAGGAGGAGGAGGAGCAGGAGGAGGAGGAGGAGGAGGAGGAGGAGGAGGGGGAGGAGGAGGAGGAGGAGGATGGGGGAGCATGAACAGGAGGGGGGGGATGGGGAAGAGGCGG